TTCATGTTCATCATCTGTCTTCATCGTTCATCTTTATTAGTAAACACTCCACTAGATCTCAAAATATCCAAACAACAAACCCACCAAATCTTAGGATTTGTTTCTAAAAAATGTTAAAAATAGAGAATAAAAAATCTAAGTTGAAGATAAACACCAAAGTCAAAGAATAAAAAAATCAAACACTTGTAAAATTTTGTGATGAAGCAGACGCAATTTCTTCTAACAGCATTACAAATGCACATATCTTTTCATTCAATTAATCTATAGCCTTTACTATTAATAGACTTGAAATAGCAGTCCTAGACTTGCAAAACACGTGCTAATCATTCCTTCTCTATGAAATCAAACAAAGAAAAATTAGAGACTTGTTTGTAGAAGTTGAATCAGATATGAAAGTAGAAGTTGCGAACCAAAAATAGAAACAAAAGTATTAGTCGAAAGTGTGAAACTATCAAGCAAAAGTTTTAATCAAAACAAAAATCAAGAATCCTAAACCAAAATCAAATCGAAAAGCAAACTTGAATCATGCTTGAATGTGTCAAACCCAGATCAAAAAGAAGAAAACAAAACAAAAACTGAATCATGCTTGGAGGCTGTCAAACTTAGATTAAGAAATGAAAATTGAATCAAAAAATAATTTGTGCTTGGAATTGGATCCAAAATTGAATCGTGCCATTTTTGCCTTTATTGTAGGCATTAATCAAAACCAAAAAATTGAATCACATTTGGTGGGCAAAAGAATCCGATGAGTCGAATGAAAAAAAAAATCAATGGCCATCGTTGTGGCTGTGATGCACTTTTACTAATCAAGCATTATCATGTTTAGGTTGTAGTGAGTCGAGAAGCTTGAAGGGCAAAGATGGTAAATGAGGAAGGAAGTGAGGAGAGAACCTAGTTTTATGGGCACAAGTGAGGAACCGAGTTTCATCATTTTTGATGGAATTGGGTTCTATAGAGAACCTAGTTTCATGGTGCCAAACAGATAAAAATATTGGTTCCACTTTCACTTTCACTTCTCCTATCCCAATTGTAATATCCTCCTTCCTAATCTATGATTAAATTCCAAATCTCAATTGATAAAAAGATTGGGTTATGGTAAACAACATAATACCAAGTTTACATATAGGTGAAAAAGTTAGGATCCCAAGTGTTCAAAACTAAAATCATTTCTAAACACTTTAAAATAGACAAATTAGAGTTCACAATTATTGAGAAGCATGGGATTGATTCAAATATTAGTGCATTTGCTAAAGGATAAATAAAAACAAAATGATTCTACAAAAATTGAGATGTGCGTCATGGCTCATAGAACATGAGCGATTACGTGTTCACCTTTGTGCCATGCACCATGGCTCATGGCACCATGTGTAGCAGTGCATTGCACGTTTCATGACAGCTACTTTTTATTGACAAATGACAGCTTCAGAGGCAACTTTCAACACACCCCATTCCTCTATCCGACTTTCGATTGATGCAAACTAGGTATATACGGAAAGCTCTTTTCGAGCTCTAACTAATGGTTTTAGTTTTATAATCAAATAATTACACAATCAAAATTTGGACACTCTTTTCAAAAATTACACTTTTTTAATTTTTTTCACAAAACTAAATGTCCAACTCATTTAAAGACCAAAAGCTATTGGTACCACTTAAACCACATGCAATACATTGAAACTTACTTGTGCAATGTATTACATTATATCAAACACTTATAATTTACAATTTCAATACTCAACCCCTCTATTCAAAAGCATAAAAAGGGAGAGTTTAGGCACCTTTTCATCAAGTGATTCATAATCAACACATAATATGCTCAACTCTTACTTGCATTAGTATTTTGGCCATATCACAGATATTACATCTCATGAACTCACTCCCTGGGGTCCAAAGTACACTTACAATTCATAAAACATATAATGCAAGTGAGGATCAAAATAGGCTATTCCTAGTTGGCAATTTCAATTATCAGATACACATAATATCTCAAAAATAAAGAGGCCTACTAATAGGATCGCAGTCTTTAGCCTTTGGGTGTTTTCCTTTGTCTAGTCCTCTTGAGCTATTTCCCGTAATATTAAAGATAGTAAGGTTAGTACAACCACTTAAAACTAAGGTTCAACTAACTTATACTAATGCATGTCAATTAATTTAAATGCAAGTGAAAAATAAAATCAATTCTCCAAACCATGTAAAATTTTTAAGAGAATAAATTCACATTTTCAAGCATAATAGAACATATTTAGAAAATAATGTTTTTTAACAACTTTCATGTAGAAGAGAGTTTGTCACACAATCAAATGACATATACTCAAAAGTGATTAAGACTCAATTTATGATTATCATCATTAGGATTACAATACAGACAACCATGTATCCTTACTTACTATATGTATCATCACACCTCTCTTATATCTTCTTTATTCCTTTAACATGAAATCATGGACTATAGCACAATGGGATTTCCTTAGCCTAAACACTTATGAGGGGATTACTCGATCAAGGCTTACCGAACTTACTTGTAAAACATGGTTTTTTCCATTTTCTCACACTATGGGGTGTTATACTTCTTAAACTGGCTTCTTCTTTGAACCAATAGATAGTTAGTTAGGTTCAAATCCCTCATTAAAGCAATGGGGCAGTCCTTCATTGAACAAGTAGAATAATATAAATATAATCGATCCAGTCAAGCCATCAACTAGGATAGGAGCCTTACCATATAGATTTAATTCTCTATTCTTCTTCTTAGGTGAACTCCCACCTCTCATGATCATGCCATGCATAGATATGCACAATTTTAAGCATTCATTTACTTAACAATTAAGCATACATCATCATCACATCATTATATCACATATATGGTAACCACATATTATGCATAATCAAATCGTTGAACTTTATTACCAATCTCATTGAACTTCACATTTCAAAATAGTCATTAAACTCCAAATCAAACAAGTCATCAAACTCTATATTTATCATAATCATTATACCTCACACATTTCCAATCATTAAACTCCATAAATTTTAAAATTATTGAACTCTTATCAACTCAAATCATTAAACTATAAGGACATCACATCGTTGCACTCCCATAACAATCAATCATTGAATTTCCAACAAATTTCAATATGAAAGTCCACTAATAACATTTTCAATAAATTCCATTTTTGTGCAAAAATCATCATAATGGATTTCCAAGCCGTTCATGCCACATTTGCATTTCAATCAATTTCACATGATTCAATCATCACTTATTAATCAATAAACTAATTAACATATAAAAACTTAGGTTAGAATTCCCTCGATTATCTTAAACCTTTGAGAAATCAAAGGCTTCACCCCCTTAAATACTCACTCCTAAATCTTTCAAGAAGCTAAAATGGTGTTAAGGATAGTCACTTTACAAGCATTTACAAGGTAACTCATTAATATCCACATTTAGACTAATTTTTACTAATAATTCAACATTTCTTAATATTCAAGATTCATTCTTAACTTATATAAAAGTATTTATAGGATTTCTTAGCTTTCTTTAACCCTCACTATCATCATTGAGCTCTCTAATGGGACCACATTACCCCAACTAACACATTAATGGGAATTTTCGGATATTTATTGCTCCTCAACCAGCAATCATCATAACTCTATAAATATCAAGTTTCATTAGCTCAATCTAGTCTTATTAACTCTATTTAGGTCAATGAATTCGAACTTATAGCCTCTATGGACCGAAAATCACCATTATCAATCAAACCCTAACTTTTACCACTAAGAAAATGGAAGAAGAGAAGGATTTAAGAAAAGAAGTTTACCATTAATATTTATGAGCTCCAAAATACTTCCAATACTCAGATTCTCTAAGCCCTAACATTTCTTTCCCATTGCTTTCTCATATTTCTATGTTCTTCCTCTATTTTTTGCTTTATTTCATAAACTTATGACAGCAGGAAAATGATCATGTGCCATGGTGCATGGCACAAAAAGCATCACACATGCACCATGGTAGCTTATCCACAAGCCACGGTGCATGGTACAGAACTCCCCTTTCAGAATTTCTTTCTCTTTTCATTTTTGGGTGACTCTATTCTCCTTCAGACCCATGTTTAGGGCTTAAATTGAAACCAAACATGCCTATTAGGCTCTTTGGCCACACACCTTGCTAATACGCTTAATTAATCTAATTCAGGCTTAATTAATCTAATTTAAAAATTGAGGATGTTACACCAATTCTTTTCTACCAAACAAGCCATAAATTAATTAATGTATTTTGCTAAAATAAAATGAAGTTGCTTGTCTAAAGTTAATGAATCTCTCTCTCCCTCTCTCTCTCTTTTATTATTAGCCAAAATAGAATCTCTCTTTTATTTTATTATTATTTTTTTAAGGCCTAAAACGAATCTCTCCCCAGACAAATGATACCATATGTAAAATCTTTCCTGAAGACAATAATCAAGATTTTAAATTGAATTTTGTTCTCATCCTTTCAAATATTGGTTGATTGGTTCACTTCGGTTAGTAAAATTTAAAATTAAATTGACTGAATGAATCGAATTATCACACACACACACACATAAATAAGTTATTAATTTATAAATTATATTTGTTTTATTAATTACTTTACTTTATTTTATTATTTTTAACTTTATATTTAAATAAAACTAAATATATAATTTAATAAGTTGAAATTTTGACCCTTCATTAAAATGGACTATTATTACTTCATAAACTTAATTTTATATATAAAGTTTGTTTGCTTTAATAAAAAAATACTAAATTGGTTTAAGTGCTTTAATAAAAAAAATAATAAAATTGGCTTAAGTCCAAGCAATTTAATATGAAGTTCAAAATTAAATTAACTAAAATTTGGTTCAATACTTATTCAATTCTATTACCTTATTCAATTCAATTTGATTCATATTTTTAATATTATTTGATAAATTAATTTTATGCATTTTGCGACCAAATCGAATCAAACCAACCAATGTTTGCAAGATCCGTTAATGGAAAGCGAGACTAAGAATGTCTTATCTCCTTCATTCTGTGTTATGAATTGTCATCTCATGAACGAAAACTCCTCAAGATTCAAGCAGCGACTCGGCAGGATGGCGGCACATAATGGCGGTAACTTGTAATTTCCGTGCCAACAAAAGACCAGAATCAACGTTTACCAGGTAGCAAACTGTTCCTTTTACTGGTTTCCTGTTTCCAGAGGGCCATTCATCCTGATTTGGAAAATGCATCTCTCATACCAAAATTGAATCCCAAACCCCAATAATACTCAATCCAGAGAAGAGTTAGGTATTCATAGCAGATCGGCGAGCGGTCGTTAACTCGTGACTGAGGATCAGAAGGCGATGGAGCAAGACACAAAAAGCTACGCAACCCCTCTGCTGGAATCGCCTCTTTCTGGAACAACTTCAAAGCTTCAAACCCTGGGAAATATCATAGTCTCTATAGTTGGTACCGGTGTACTGGGATTGCCTTTTGCTTTTCGGATCGCTGGTTGGCTTGCTGGTTCACTGGGAGTTTCTATCGTTGGCATGACCACCTACTATTGCATGCTCCTTCTTGTGAGTGAGCATCCCTTCTCTTAGTTTTTCTTCTCAAATTGGTCCAGCACATAAGTTTGTAGACGTTTGATTCACCGAGGTGTTGATTGGGGAACGATTAATTTCTGCGGGAACTAGTTGACCTATTTCTATGACTCAGGTCCTCGAGGAATTTGTCACGTGCTATTAGCTGAGAGAACCTTTCCGTCCTTTCCTTGGAAGTCAGGTAGTGTCTTGTTATTGAAAAGTTTGTATTTAATTTTCCTTGCCACAGGTTTTGTGCAGAGAGAAGTTGGCAGCAGATGGATCATCAGTCGAAGCAAAAACGTATGGGGATCTGGGTTATAAGAGCTTTGGATCCATTGGTCGTTATCTGTCAGAATTTCTTATCTTGGTAGCACAGAGTGGAGGTTCCGTTGCATATTTGGTATTCATTGGCCAAAACCTCCAATCTATTTTCCTAAACCAGGGTCTCGCATTCACATCCTATATATTTTTATTAGTGCCAGTTGAAATTGGATTATCATGGATAGGGAGCTTATCTGCTTTAGCACCATTTAGCATTTTTGCTGATATTTGCAATGTCCTAGCGATGGGAATTGTGGCGAAGGAAGATATACAGCAAGCATTAAGGGGTGAATTCTCATTTGAGCAGAGAACCGCAATCACATCCAATTTAGGTGGACTGCCTTTTGCAGGAGGCATGGCAGTCTTTTGTTTTGAAGGGTTTGGGATGACATTGGCCTTGGAGAATTCGATGCAGGACAGAGCTAAGTTCCCAAGATTGCTGGCTCAGACCTTTGGTGGGATAACACTTGTGTACATTCTTTTTGGGTTTTTTGGTTACATGGCTTATGGTGATGAAACTAGAGATATCGTGACCCTCAATCTCCCCAGGAATTGGTCATCTACGGTAGTACAGGTAATATGGTTAAGACAATAAGTTATGGAATGTTGTATTGCCCTTTTGGTTTGACGTGGTACTCTCTCGTGGTTCTCTCACTTAGCTGATCAATATCCTGCATTTCCCCCCTTTCTTTTTCTCGGCTAGTTGATTCCGGATTTATAATGATATATATCGTGTGTTATCTTGCTCCCGGTGTATCCTGGACATGAATAAACATTGAAATTATATTATTTGATGAAAGCCAAAAGACGAGCAAAAGTCATTCAGGAAATGTACCATTGCATGAATCAGATCTTGAGAAAATTTTAGTGACTTGCAGTCTCGCTCTTTCCAAGAATGCAGACCAACCATGCTAGATATCTTAAGATCAGATATGATTGGTTGGATACGATTGAAATGGTTAGATATCCATTTGAGGGCATTAGTGGAAGCAGCTGGCTCTTGAAGATGATTTAGTATTTGATATTTATTACACTTGTCACCTAAATTGTGTTGTTCATAGTATCTGTTTAGTCGGCGTATTTGCATGTGTATGCCAGCATGTTTTTCTCTCTGCCTGTGTGGGTGTGGTTCACATTATATTCATAGACATGATCGATTTGTGCTTATACATGCCTTATAAAATCCACTTTTAAGGTAAATGTTTCAAATTTTAAGCATTATAAGTAGCAGATAAAGCAGCCAATTAACAGTTCTTTTGCCGCCAGCTTTCATATTTTATCTTCATAACATTGTTTCTGATTATTCATTGAGATCTCGAATTGCTATTATGACAGATAGGATTATGCTTGGGGCTGGTGTTCACATTCCCAATCATGGTTCACCCTATTAATGAAATTGTGGAGGGAAAGCTGAAAAGGCTCAAATGGTTTTACAGGCCTTGCCACTGGGACAATAATGATTCAACAACCAGATTAGGAAAGACTTGGATCTATATAAGTCGAGCAATTGTGGTGGTTGTGCTGGCAATCTTGGCCTCATGCGTGCCAGCTTTTGGCGTATTTGCCTCATTTGTGGGGAGTACTGTGTGTGCATTGATCTCATTTGTTTTGCCAGCCACATTTCACCTAAAGCTATTTGGTTCTTCTCTACATCTTTGGCAGAAAGCCTTGGATTTTATTGTACTGTTCTGTGGTTTATTTTTTGCTGTTTATGGCACATACAATACCATAGTTGGAGTTTAAATGCTTCTGAACCTGCATCCTACTCAGTAAAAGCCTTTCTAGAAAACAAATCGGTATTTTTCATGTAATACAACAAATGTTTACTGTGAATATATCATGCAGACTGCACAAGATGCTGTTCCCCCCCCCCCCCCCCTTCATTGTTGCCTGAGCTTTCCCAATTTGGTTAATTAAGTTATACGGAACCGTGATTTTCCGCAACCTCAAATTTGGATTACATCAGCTTCCTCTTGTCAGTGATGAGCCCCAAAACTTGTCTATTGCTTCTTTGCATTTGTCAGGTCGTTAAACATTGATTTCTGAGAACTTGATCCTTTATATCAGTTACAGGTTTGGTCAGTTAGAGTACTTACCTTCCCTGTGGTCCAGGACCGACAAGCTTGTCGCTTTAATCTTTTGAATTTGTGGCCTTGGCCTGCACAACATATCGAGCTACAGAACTGACTTGAGTGCCAGCTGCTACCTTGTCGTGGGTGCTAGATGGCCGATACTTATTTCTGGCCTTGGCCTGCACAACATATCGAGCTACAGAACTGACTTGAGTGCCAGCTGCTACCTTGTTATTGGTAGATGACCGATACTTTAATTTCTAATTGTTTTATATGGATGCCCTAATTTTCATCAAGTTTAACTAAAGTAATTTTTTTTTTTTGGCCAACTAGAGTAATTACCTGGATTTGTTTTATGTTTAATTTTAAAATATTTTAATTAAATAATAATATTAATTTTTTATTTTTTTGTAACCAAGCTTATGAACCTAGCCTTGAGTCCTTTATATAAGGGTCGAGTTTTAAAATTTGGAGGAATTTTAAAAAATTAAGTTTCAGGACATGAGCTCTTAAGAGTTGAGTCCATAAGAGTCGAACTCTCCCATTTTCCAACTCTAAATAGGTGTTAGAAGCTTGATACTTTCTGCTTTCTAACTCATTAATTACTTAGATATGAGCATAAACAAGTTTATGAACTTTTGATGATGGTGCATTAACTCGATTGATTTGCAATTAGTACTTAATTCATTACCCCACTCGTTTATTTTTATCATTAAATGTGTTAGCATATAGGGGCAAATCGGCAATGACAACCAAGCGCCTCTTAACAAGGTTCATGTGTATAAACTGCGCAATAGTGATGTCTTGTGGGTCTATAGGCGCTATCGCAACATTGAAGTGTGCACCCCCCTACAGGTAGATCTAGGTGCTATGATTAATGGCCTAAACTGGACGTGGAAGCAGGGTTTCAAAAGGACTATTTGCTAGTCGTGTCTCTTTTGTCATAGGATATGACTTCTGTAAACGCCAACAGTTCTTGCTTGGGCAGACCCGTTCCCTTATGCAAAGAGGGTAGCAAGTTGAGATTGATCACTTCTATCAAGAAGGAAATAAATGCCCTAATTTTCTAGCTTCCTTTGCCATATCTCCATGGATATGGGTGTGCATGACCTATACCATTCACCAGACAATTTATCAAAACTCTTACAAGATCACGCTCTAGGCGTAGGCTAGATTCACTTTTTTAATAACAGATCCTAGTTGGTCTTCTCCATTCCTTAACAAAATGTGTGTGTGTGTGTGTAAATATATGGTTCATATCAATTTAAGATTTTTTTTTTTGTTAAGATTTTCAGTACTGAAATATACGGAAACAAAATAGTAAGTATATCTTAGTCTTTTACAAGTCTTAAATGGCCGGACTTAAAAACCCAATTGCACTAAAATCTCTCAATTTTTCAAGCACTTATACCTATACTCTATCTTATTATATTTATAAATTACTTTTGATATATTTTATTAAAATAAAAAAAATCTTAAAACCCATTAACTTTATCTATAAAAACATATATATATATATATATATATCCCTTATAAATGAGTTTAGAGGGATCGGAATATATGTAGTTCCAAATATTTGATTATAATTTTTATGACTTTTTTGACCAATACATACATATATTCTTATTATTGGAGATAATAAACGATTGAAGGCTGTAAGGGAAAAAGTAAAATAAAGACCTTTGCATTATAAATTCCTAAAAATTTTGTGGTTTTTAACTTTTTATAGTTTTATTACTATTTATATATACACACTCATATATATATATATAGTAATGATTGAAAAAACTTGTATTGTCATCAATTTAATTCAAACAGTAAATTAAGTTCAGAAATTGAAAACTATAATTTCAACACAATTTTTATTTAGGTTTGAATGACAATTTGAACCATAAATTATATAATTAGGGATAATTTGAACCATAAACTCATAATTAGTATTTTTGAACTCTAAAAAATTAAATTTGAGGCAACCTTCCCCCAACCATTAAATTGGTCCAATGTTGATTGTTAGATAAGGAGAGAGAGAAAATTTTGACCAAATTTTGCTTAAATGTCATGTCATTTGTGTAAGCCAATATTTTCCAATGGGTATATTGGTAATGCCATGAATGTCATGAATGCCGAGCAGAGCTTGGTTCTCAAATTGAGCGGTAGCGAAGGAAAGCAGAAATGAGTGTGAGCACTATGTGTAGAGAAGGACGACTTTGCTTCTAGAACCAAGCGGTGTCAAACTTAAAAGGATATTTTTCTGATATTATTGCGACGAGAGCGTCGTTCTTCGAGAAATTAAAATTAACTGGAGTGGGCAGAAATGGAATGTGTTCACTCAGAATTAAAACCTCACACACATCAGCCAAGGGTCAATTTTTTAAAAAAAAAAAATTACCACTTGGTAATGCTTAGTGAATATTTGTATCAATTTAATGGTATATGCGAGATTTTTTTAAGTTTAATTATTTAAAATTTAAAATATATCAATGATGAGTTTAAAGTTTAAATCACTTATAAATTTTTAGTTTAAAATTTAAATTATATATTAACTCTTTTATTTATGTCTGTGTATATATAAGGGTTGTCCCAAAAATTAGTGCAGCCCAAAGTGAATGTGGGCCGGATCGGAATGATGGAAATTGCAACGCACAATGTGCTTTCATAAAATGTCAAGGTTTAGTCGACAAGTGCGATAAAGATATGGGAACACTACTTATCCTAGAGATGAGATCTAGATTGTTCACATTTTAATATAAACAGTTCAGATTTATAATATTATTTTATATTAATTTATTAAAATAAAAATTTATAAAATAATTTTAATAAATTTTTTATTTTTAATTTGATCTAGATTTAATTTAAAGGGTCAAATTTTTTATTAAAATTTTTATAATTAATGTATATTAATTATCCATATGTACTCTGCATAATCTACATATAATATCTAAACTGTATAGAGTACATCTTAAAAATTTGAAATATTTAATTATAAAAATTTTAATATTAAATTAGACCCTCTAAACTAAATCTAAATCAGATTAAAAAGTAAAAATTTATTAAAATTATTTTATAATTTTTATAAATTTTTATTTTAATAAATTAATAAAATAATATTTTAAATTTGGATCATCCAGATTAAAATTTGGATGGCTCAGATCTCATTCCAAAGGATGATCAGGAAAACCGTTCTTTAAATATACATAATTTAATTAATTAGATTCGTACCAAAATACAACTTTTTTGTTGTTGCCCAACATATATAGTTTAACAAGGTTCCAAGTAAAAATGAAATTCAAGTGGCGTCTAAACTTGATATGTTTGCATATCTATGCAATTAAATTGTTGGAAATTAGTATTTACTACTTCCATGCTTATGAAATACTATTCATAATATAAACCCATTACATTATTATTTTTCAAATAAATCGTTTGAAGAATTCTTATATCCAAACTATTTATAAAACCATATCTGTGATGTTTATTTCTTACACGAATAAGTAAATATTCAATGTATTAGATATTATTTTTATATAATTCAAGGTTGTTAAACTCATAAATTTAAGTAAACCCATCATAAATATTTATCTATATTAATAAAATAGCTATTAAAAGTACATGATTGAATTATTAAAATATAAAATATGATCATAATTTGATTTACATATATTTCAAACATAAATCAATGAAATTAAATTGGTTTACATTCATATTATCATACTCAACATATAAATTTTAAATATAAATCATTGAACTTATTTTAGTGTTTCTTGTTTTATTTTTTTATTAATATTAATTTTTTCCTCTTGAGTTATATTTTTCTTTGAATCGAGTTATACTATTTCTACGAACCGAGTTCTACACAGTATATATCTAACTTGTTCGACTTGACAAGAAATTGATAAATTTAGCACGTTTAATTGAATTTGTATATAATTTAAATTCATAAGTAAGTTAATATAATTTTATAAGTTAAAAACTTAAAAATGATAAACCCAGACAATCAACTTACAAATATAATAAAGTTTTTACTACTTTTAATTTATGAATAAGTTAACATAAATTTATAAGTTAAAAATATAAAAATAATAAATTTATCTAAAAAGTGAATTCGAGAATTTGACAACAATATTATTCGTTCTCATCGTACATGTGCGTGTGTGTGTATTAGAAGGCATTCTCCTTCCAAAATATAACAAAATAAAAACAATTTTTTAGTGCTAATCGCAAAACCCCAAAAAAAAAAAAAAAACAGAGAGAAGAAATGGCAAAAGTTCTTCACGATTGAGCTTGCTTATTATGAGTAAATGAAAACTAATAGTATCTCCTCTCCATATTAAATACCCCCATTTCAAAAAATTTAAGATATTTTTAATTAAATTACACTCTCAAATGAGTTAGTTAAATATTTTTAAATTAATATTATCTTTTTGTATTTGTTTTTGCTTAACAAGGTATGTCTCACTTAAAGATGAATGCTTGATTGGTTTATTTATTAAGAATTTTTTAAAAAACTTATCAATCATGTATTAAAAAATAAAAATGTCTTATATTTTTTAACATCTAACCTCAAAAAAATGCTTTATATTTTTATTAAAAAAAGTAATTTTCATTATTTTTCACTCATATTCATACTTTACCCAAAAAAAAAGTCCAAGAGAATTTTTGGCATAAACCTAACACACCACGTCATATGTATACTATCTAACAAAAGCATGCTATTTCAAATTCATTCATTTAATCGTATGTGATATGCCTCATTTATGCCATTTTAACTTCTTTTAATTCCTTATCTTTTCTCTCTGTCATCATTGTAAATGAGGGGAGAGATAAAATGCAAGAAGTTATAAAGTAACTTTACTCCCAAAAAAATGTCATTAAAAATAATAACACATTAAAAAAATTATTATAAAAAATATTAAATTTTTATTTGAATGAATTGGTATAATTTATTGAATAAAGTATAGATGATATGATACTCCTAGTCCATGTAAAAATTACTTGTCCAACAAACACAGGTTGCTCGGGAATATAGCCCTAAAAATAGGAGTAATATATTACACAACATTGGACTAAAAATTAAACCTTGATTTTAGTTTATATTATTGTTTTAGGGTTAAAATGCTCCTTTGCCTATGAACTTCTTTTGAAGTGTGCTGGGTACCTTTGCATTGAAAGGTCGTGCAATATTACCTCTCATGTGGTAAAAAATGAAGAAATATCATTGTACTTTCATTAAATATTCATTAATTTGACCGTCAATTAATAAAAAAATAACAAAAAATGACATAGAAAATTGCAAAAAATGATTCATAAAACTATATAAAATGACAATATAATTTAAGGGACTTAAATTACAAACTAAATAAATATCAATAGACTAATATTATTTCTTATCTATATAAAATATGAAAATACCATTTTGACTGACTACCAAGTGATTATCGGATCACCAATATTGAAAAAGTCAGCAAGTAATTTAAGAATATCGTATTTGTTTTAATAAAATTTTATTAAAATATAAAATAATTTAATTATTATTTATAAATATTCATCCAAAATTTATAAATCCTCTTTTAAATATTAACAACTCAACTAGTATTTCTGAAATTTATAGGTAAATATATTTTTCACACTAATTAATTTGTAGATTAAAATAATATGATAATTAGAAGTCTTCCTCTAAAATTTATAAGCCCTCCTTCAGAAATTTGTATATCTTAAAAGTTGACTTGTAAATCATGCATGAAAATTTATAAATACCAATAATGTTTGTTTTATCAAATATTAAGATATTAATATTTTAATAAAATGTTATTAAAAATTATTATTTTTAATTACTTATCAGTGCTTGGTAACTGATCAAAATGATTAGTTAAAATGATATTTTAGTCTTTTATATGGATAAGAAATAACATTAGCTATTAAAATTTTGTAGTTTAAGTCACATGATTAGGATTAATTTTGTTATAAAATCATTTTCTATAATTTTCTAGGTCCTTCTCTGTATTTTTTTTTAGATCACCTAACAGATATTTAACGAAGAGATGACATTGCTCCATTTTTTTAAAAATGAGGGGCAATATTGTGCTACCCTTGACTTGAAGGTACTCAACACACTTGAAAAAAATTCAGGGATAAATTAATAGTTTAATCATTTTATTTATTTGTTCTATTCAAAACATAGTGAATTCAAAACCAATATATGAATGTCTATTAAAATCAATGGTATAATTCAAAGAAAGTATAAATTGAGTCCTAATTGCTTTAGCATAAAATATAAAATTTTATAGTA